TCCGCACACACCACTTTTGCCAATCACAGTCAGGACAAGCTCCGCACACACCACTTTTGCCAATCACAGTCAGGACAAGCTCCGCCCACACACCACTTCTGCCAATCACAGTCAGGACAAGCTCCGCCCACACACCACTTCTGCCAATCACAGTCAGGACAAGCTCCGCCCACACACCACTTCTGCCAATCACTGTCAGGACAAGCTCCGCCCACACACCACTTCTGCCAATCACTGTCAGGACAAGCTCCGCCCACACACCACTTCTGTCAATTATGGTCAGGACAAACTCCGCCCACACACCACTTCTGTCAATTATGGTCAGGACAAACTCCGCCCACACAGATAAAGAAACTCCTCCTACGTTTTGCAGAGAGGTCCTTGTTTGAAACAGAAATCCAGAAAATTATAAAAACACAGAAGTAGCTCAAATGGTTGTTCCTACCAAGGTCTGCAAACAGAACTGGAAAAAAGTTTTTTGTAAAGGAGTATTGCTTAAACTTAACTTTTATTTGTCTATAGCTCATGTAAAACAGAAGAACTGTCTGATCTGTCTGATCTGCAGGACGCCGGCAGTCAGCAGATCGGTTTTCTGCTGGGCAGCTGTGGAGTCACCGTGGCTCTGACCAGCGACGCCTGCCATAAAGGCTTACCCAAAAGCCCCACAGGAGAGATCCCACAGTTCAAAGGTCAGACACACGCCACCTTTCATTGTGACACTTCTGTCTACACCAGCAGGGTCTTTCATTTAAAAAAAGAAACTAGACAGGAAAATAAAAACTTGAAAACTCAGCTTTTGTTAAATGTGTTTCAGTCGTTTGTAAAATCTTAAACCCTTGAAATATTGTGGACTTTCTAAAATAACCAGACATGGCTGAAACCCAGTGTTTTAAAGCTCCAGTGATCTGTCACAAAGACTCCACACACAGGTCAAAGGTCAGACGTCAGAGCTGGACAGAGCCGCTCCCCGTGAATTTTTTTTACAATCATCCAGAGTTTCTCAGTGGAACGGATAAACAGAGTGACGGGAGCAGACAGCTGGGCTGAGACATGGATGACAGGATGATGGAGTGATGTGGAGGGAGGCGGTGAAGTGGTGAAACGGATCGATGGACAAACAAGTGGCAACCAGAGAGAAGAGAAGGCAGAGCCTGGCTCTGARGAATAACCACTGTTTGCTTTGCAGTAATGGGTTTAAAAATAGCAGCACGACGGCGGCAGACTCTTTGCTCCCCACTCAGCGTAGATTTCAGATTGTCGTTAAATCTGAGTGCCTCTCGTATCGATCTCATATTAAAGCTGGTCTCATCCATGTGGCTGATTGGATCAAGAGTTTGTAAACAACCAATCGGTTACGAGGTTCAACAAAAACAAGTTTAACTCCAATTCTTTAGGCGTGAAATTACAACGGCATATTAGAGCCACTTTGCAGATGAAAAAACMGAGCAAATTTCTGCCAAAAAACAAAATTTCGAGATTAAAACATTTTCGAGAAAAAAACTGGAAAGTTTCTTATGTGGAAAAGTTGTAAATTTGCATGAAAAGCTCAAAATGTCCGAGATTAATTTCAGAAATTTTGAGAAAACAGGAAATTTTCTTATGTTGAAAAGTCGTGAATTTGCGAGAAGAACTCAAATTTTCTGAGATTAATTTCAGAAATTTTCAAGAAAAAAAGTTTCTTATGTAGAAGCTGTAAATT